GTTTATATCAAATTGAAATTAAGAAAATTAATTGTTGTATATTTCATTAGGATAGTTATGTAATTTATTTTTTTTACAACTCATCACAGCCCGAAATGTAATCTGGATGACTGACAGGGGAAAGGAAAAAACAGAGGGGTTAGGGCGCTGTCTGATATCTACTTAGACTCTGTTGGTTGATGGTGGTTTCATGTACCTGTGAAGTGCAGACTTTGTTGAAGGAGACGAAGATGGCTGTGTGGAGGAAACAGGAAAAGGCCAGTCAGAGTGAAAGGCCCATGATGCTGCCAACAGCAAGACGAGCTGTGGGATAAAGGCAGCCAGGCCAAGCCACTGGCTCACCTGCTGTTCTGCTCCAACATAAGACAAAAGAAACTTAAAAAGATGCATCACCTCCTCTAAGTTTACACTCCCTATTTATTAACACAGACCAGCAAAGAAAATGCCAAATGAACATACGTGCAATTTTATAACTGATTTTATAAACAAGCACCTCATCACTATTGACCACAAGCAGTGTACCTCTGCATGAGCTAGAACTTTATGCTGGTCTTTGCTCTGTGGTTCTATATACTGCAAGGTGTCACACTTGGAAGCTATAAATGGTCGAATGGATGAATACCTGCAGTGAGGTAGAGCATGTAGAAGTATGGAGAGAAGTTGTGTCTGATGTCCCTTCTGGTCAGATGGTACAAATAGGTCTCATGAAGGAACTCCCAACCGTACCTGACAAGACAGGAAAGGATTTATGATAACATATTGAGAAATTCTATTCAAAGAATATGAAAAGTTTGTGCATTTGTCAGATAAGAAGACATGCTAATATTGAGTCAAACTCAAAAATAGATAAATCAGACATTTCAAGCATCTGGCTCCACATTTTTACCATTAAACTACTATTAATACATCTGAAAGACTTGGACTAATTATGTATTTGGTGTTATTGCTAGAAATGACAACTCAATATTTAATACTTGTCTGTGATGGAAAGCAACTACACTCACATGTAATAGAAGAGAGCTGTGAGCACCACAGAAAACTCCCCCAGCCACACTCGCAAAGAGGAACAGCTGTGCGTTGAGGAAGCTTCCAATGAACCCAATAAACCTCCTCCAACTCTGTCTGTCCCTCTCTGCTCTGGTCTCTGGTTTGCGCAGGGTCAGAGCAATGGGCAGAGCATATGTAATGGGGTAGATCTTCATATGACTGACAGGCCGTACAGAATAGCTGCCCATATGAGACGCCGGCCTGGAAGAAAAAAGGTAAAACGATTAGCAAAGAGCTGTTTATTTACATTATAATATTAGCAATATTGACATTATTTTACAGAGCTCAAGACACACACAGCAGCCACCCTTACCTTCCATACAGAGTAATGTCCCCAGCACCAGGGCTGCCAGGATGGACTCAGCGTCCTCGGTGGATACTCCCATGGGCAGTGGGTTGAGGAGCCACAGAGATGAAACACGACGCGCAGTCTGAACATAAATCCCCCAAAACACACAACTTTATCTGTACTGCACTTTTCCACAAAACAAGATTAAAGAGTTGTTTGTGATTGTAGTCAAAAGTTATGACTGACAAACCTCAGAGTCCAGACCTCGCAGGCGAAGATTCTATAGATGAGCAGTCCGGACAGGACGTCAACATAAAACAAACAGGATCTTGCCAAACACCATGCTGAGATAGATGTTGGGGGTTAGAAGCCAGGCTAGCAGAGGAGTGTAGCGGTAGGTTGACCTGTTGTACGGCGACTCACCCTGTGCAAAAATTGCCCACATTGAAATGATGAATGTAAATATCAGCATGATAAAGAATTTAAGAAGGTATCCAGTAAAAACAGTCTGTTTAACTGTTATAGATGACATGTCTGTTAACCACAGTGTAGAGATACTCTATTACATGTAAAAGTGCATCCTGCATCCGTGTTATATTATTGGCTCATTATTATTGATGTATGAACATGAAGTAAGCAGTACTGAGGGGAGCAATGTTTATGTGCATCATATAAAATGTCAGGAACTTGAATTTTCTAAGAAGCATCACATTTTATGATGATTTATGATTTTATGTTTTTACTGTAAAAGCTTAATCTGAAAGGTTTAATTATAGTTAATAAATATATGTGAGGAGTAAAAGCAAATATAGGTTTGAAATTCGGCAAGAAAAGTAGTGTGCCACAGAAAAGTACAATAAATGGCAAATAATGGCAAAAATTCAAGTACACCACAAAAGTCAGTATCTCCCACTACTTTTTTTTGTTTTTGTTTTTTTTAAACCCAGTGACACTGGAGTTAGATTCCGATTCAGCAGTTCAGGGGAAACTGAAGTTTCCCCAACCAGACCACTTCAGACCAAAGCAAAGACCACTCTACAATCAGGGAGTTTATATACCTTATAAATCAAATTTAAAGATTCGTGAAACTCGTTATTCCATTTTAGAAAAGACTAAATAGGGAATTTCTCAGCTTTTCCCCCCACCTACACATTCGCACTGACTTGAAACTACATCTGAACTAAGCCTATATCAGGGAGGGTGTAAAACTAATTTAAAACCTGACACATTCAGGGACCTGACAGCTTTACCTGACCACTTATTTGCTGTCACAAGTCATTATTCAGTACCTCAGTGATGAACCTTGCAGCATCGGTGAACACATGGTAGTCAAATGTCGGTGTACTTGACCACCATAGTCCGGTCTGGTGGTCTCCATAAGCGACCAAAGCGAGTCGCACAGCCAAGGAAGCCGAGAAAAGGACGTGTTTGTCCGTGAGCCTGGAAATCAGCGCCCCATCACCGCCGAGCAGGGGAACCAGATTAGCAAGAGAAGCTAAGTCGACTAACTATTTTGAGCTGGAGCACGTTGACCGAACCATCCGTTCCTCAATGGCCATTCTCAACCTCCAGACATGTCTTAAAATATTACCGACATGTTTCATTGACAAGTTCTTGAATGACCAGATTCCAAACTTGACAACCAGGAAGATTTCCGGAACTGCTTTTACAAACACTTTCAGGCACCAGCACCACCTACTGTTCTGGAGGACGACGCTTACACTGACAAACCTGATCCCTCTGAGCACCAACGAAGACATTGCTTCTCTGTTGGTGTTATTTAACATATGTCGACCAATATTTCCTGTATGCATCACTGCGACACTGTTCTCCACCTATCAGCTGTGTAAAATCCAACCCTGTTTGTTTCCACAGGTGGAAAGTAACTAAGTACATTTACTCAAGTACTGTACTTAGCTACACATTTGTTTTTTCATGTAAGCTTACTTTATACTTATACCACATCTCCCCTCTGAACTTCTCAGATGTTTCATTTAATAGTTTGATGACTATAACATTTTCCTATAGAGTGTGATTTTTTGCAAATGCTAAGGTTAAGAAACAGTACATGTAGCCTATGTTTGTTTTTTATGGGTGGGGGTGTTAACTTGCCCCATAGGTGAATATGATAATGGACTGTGCAATGTGTGCAGACTGTGGGTCTCAGCTCTGGATCCTCCTTCCTTATTGATTGCGGTCCCCTGGTAAGCAGCAGTCAATCGGTCCGTCTAGGGGTACATAATGCACGAGGAACTGCACTTCACTCTCACTGCCTGCTTACACCCTGAGTATGTTGTCATGGAGTCTTAGGATCTAAACTATGGCCCTGTGTTTTTGTGCATTGCTGGGGAGTTAAGTTTAGCATTGTACCCTTTTCTTTTGTGGGTTTCAGGCCTATTGATGTTTCTAGTTAGGGCCGTTTGGTTTGTTATTTTGGCCTGGGCTCTCTCTGAAGATAAATTATGCATCCAAGACTGGCATTAAAAGATTTGTATAAAACTTAAACAAAATGACTCACCATAGCCTTCATTCAGTTTTAGGTTATTCCCCTTTCCCCTCAACTAACCTGGGGTTGTATCAAAACTTCAATATTTCCTCCCTCGCTAATCATCTCATGATGTAGAAACATTGAAGCTTGTACTTCCTTCAAAATGTTTCTACAAAATAATTCTACATTGCTCAGATAAGATACTTACAGGCGCATTTAATCCATCTGAACATATCAATTAGATTATTTCATGCTTGAAGCTAAACCCATAGTGGTTCAATCAGTGTTGTTTTTTTAAGAACATATTACTCTTGTGCTTTGAGGGTAGAAACAGTAGTACACTAAAAGTGGTTTCTGTAAAATTTTATGAGAACAGATCATATATTTTAGAAATGTTTCAATCAGGTTTCAGGGCAAACCAGTACAGAGACTTAGTACTGATGCCAATAAGGTCTCTTTTCTGATTCTTCTGGATGTAAGTGCTGCATTTGACACAACAGACCCTGAAATTATTTTGGATTGCCTTGAGAACAGGGCTGGGCTCTTTGTTTTAAACTGGCTCTGGTTGTGGGAGGAAGTTCTTTGTTGTGTCACAACCCGGCTCAAGGTTGGAGAAAGGAAGGAAGACCAGACATACAGTAAGTTATAAATAAAAAGTTTATTTTACATAACTGAAGAAGAAATTAATCTAAAGACAAACAGTACAACAAAACCAAACAGGGTAGAAGCCAGAGGAGAGAAAGAGAAAAACTGGCTGAGTGTGACCAGCTTATGTAGCGCAGCCAGACCAGGTGGGCTGAATCTCCCTGGCAACCGAACTACACAACAGGCTCCTTCAGGGAGAGGTTTAAGGAGGGTTGTCACAGTTGCAATTGGGTCAGGAAAATGTGATTTGTCGCCTTACGGCGAGAAGATTCTGGGTTTGAATCCCAGGCCTGCACTCTTTCTGTGTGGAGTTTGCATCTTCTCCCCGTGTTTGCGTGGATTCTCTCCGGGCTTCCTCCCACAATCCAAAAACTTAGGTTAATTGGTGAGTCTCAAGTCCCCATAGGTGTGAATGTGAGAATGAGTGGTTGTTTGTCTCTATATGTCAGCCCTGTAATAGACTGGTGACCTGTCCAGGGTGGACCCCACCCTCGCCCAATGTTGGCTGGGATTGGCTCCAGCCCCCCCATGACCCTATAAGGATAAGCGGTATAGGTAATGGGTGGATGGATGGAAATGTGATTTACTTTTCGGTGTTGCTCAAGGAAGCTGTCTTGTTCCACTTCTTTTTTTAATGTATATACTCGCTATGCTTAGGTGATATCCTCAGGGAATATAAACTCTATTTTTACAGTTGTGCTAATGACATACAGCTGTATATTTCCCTTGAGCCTGATGATGACGACAATACCCTGTGTTCCTTTAACACTGGGACGGCAGAAGTAAAAAAACTGGATGACCAATAACTTCCTGAACTTAGGCATCTGGCCCCTGAGGTTAAATCAGAAGTAACATGCTTGGGTATTATTTTAGACTCTGAATTAAATTTTACTTCATACATAAAGAAGGTAACCAAAACAGCTTTTTACCACTTAAGAAATATCGCAAAATATCGTGAAATAAGTACAGCCGTACCTATCCCATAAAGATTCTGAAAGAAATATTCATGCTTTTATTTCAATTAAATTATTGCAATGCTGCAATGAAGAGAGAGCATATCACCTCAGTGAAGCTACACTTCATTGGCCCCTTGTATCTTTAAGAATAGATTTCAAGGTTATTTTACTTGTTTATAAAGGTTTATAATGGTTTGGGACTGGCTTACATTGTAGACTGTCATTTTATTATCCCTTCACAAGCTCTGAGATCTTCTACTGCTAGGCTCTTAAAAACACAAAGTGTTACACACAAGAAAATAGGTATGCGCAACTTTTTTTTAATTATTAAACTTTGCCCCAAAGCTGTGGAAAATCCTGTCAAGTGCTATAAGACATACGGGCTGTGGACATGACTGCTGAAAACCTATTTACATAATTTTTTATTCTTACTGGTTTCTATTTTTATTTAAATTTTATTTATTTTTTATCTATCATCTACATCACTTTATTTAATTGTTCTTCTATTCGACCTTGTTTTATTGTGCTATTTCATTTTCACTCTCTTGCATGAAAAGTGCTCTATAAACTATAAACTTTAATTTTGGTATTATTTTATTATTATCAACATTAGCAGTAAGTAACAAGACTTTTCATAGACAAACAGTGTATTATTAACACTGCCACAATGAATAATCAAACTGAACAATATCATTATCACATGTGGCTGAACCAGATCTGAGAAAATGACAATAAAAAGCATTTTTTTCTTTAAAAGTGATATACAATATTTGTGAATCACACACTTTTATTCCATGTGTAAAAGCATTAGGATACATGAAAAAGACCTGGACCCAGTTCAAAACTTCATGCAAACCCTTGTTCTTTCTAGTCTATAGTCATTATATGCATTATGATACAATTCCATATAAGTGTTCGTTACATAATCAGACAGGACATATCTATCTGTCAATGTGATTTCATCGCAATATTCTCTTTGGTTAACTGAATATATAGAACGACTGCATGGTCTGTAGATAAAGTGCAGAGTATCTTGCAACCATCAAATCTTTACATGTTATAAAGGCACAGTTGACATCTGTGCTGCCAGATGAAAAAGGCACAACAGAGAAGGCAAATTCCCTCGAAGCGTGTAAGGTACAAGATAACACAAACTAGACTCTAATACAGTGGTTATCAAACTGGGTGGTGCCAATTCAAGGGGGTTTTGGATGACCAGGGAATAATATGGAGTGAAGATAAGTTGAATGAATATGATTTACGAGGGAAAAATAAACAAACCAGAGTTTGCTAATGCTGCTGTGCTTACTTTTATTTCATTAAAATACAACATGGATCCCTTTTTCTTAGATGCCTCCCTTATTACTGTTAATGATAGATAAAAATTGTGTATGGGTGCGGCTTTTTTTCACTTCTGAAGGGGGGCATGCCAGAAAAAGTTCGAGAACCACTGCTCTAATGGGATAGATAAACTTATGTAGGGTGTGAGGCAGCAGCAAAAAGGGCCAAACATGTATTACAGACATTAAGTAAACCAGGATGAGAGCAGGAATCTAATGTTCAGGGAGGCACAGGATAAACACAGAATCACTCAAGAAAGAAGTGATGCAGACAAGAAGCCACAGTTTAGAAAAATCCAGCACCATAGTTTTTACACATTAATTGGTGCTGAAAATATAGGACGGGAAGTCAGGGTGTGATTAGCTATAGGAAACACTAGAGCGGTGATTCTCGACATTTTAAAAGTAATACCAAATTAAATGCTATACTATTGCAATTAAAGATGTACTGTAACTCCCCCTCCAGTTGAGATAAACTGCTCTCAGTGATGTAGTCCTCACTCAGGGGAGCAGTAACGGCCAGCAAACAGAATGCTCATGGAGGGGTTATGTCGGATGAAGAAGAGGAAGGGGTGATCTGCAATGAAGGTGGCTGGACGAAGTGCACAGCGCAGCATCATGATGGCGGCAGTAGCAGCAGCAGCCTCGGTTCCCTCCTCGTTCACCTCCACGAAAGCCTTGTGGACGACCTTTGACAGTGCCAGGTCGTTGGCAGGAGACATGCCTGTCACAGAAGAGAGAGGCAGAGAATATTTTAAATAAATGTAATACCTGCTCTCACCCTTCATGTTGATGTTGATTTGGGAGGAACTTCAGTATTTTTACTTGACAGGAGCCAGTTCAGGTTTTTCATGTCCTGATCTTTACAATGAAATATGAAGATTTCCGATATAGTCCAGGTACGTGTCCTACCTGAGAAGTCACTCATTATCATGTCGAAAGCATCCACCATGCCCATGCTGACCAGGACATCCTTCATGTCATAGTTCTCCTCCATCTTGAACCGAGGCAGGCCCACCTGGACCTCACTTTCATCCATCATGTCTGAACGAGTCCACTCCACAAAATTTTCATAAGTCAGCTCCTTCTCCAGCTGGGGGTGGACACAAAATGGACAATCAATTATCAGTTTGTCTGTGTCTTGTGGGCATCTTTATATGTGGAAATGTAATAGTGTGCATGTCCTACCTTTTCAAGACCAGTTGAACTGTCCTCTATGTCCATAGGTAGAAAGATGAGCATGCTGAGCTCCTTCCCTTTGTAAGGCATCTCCAGAATCTGTACAACAGCATTTTTCCAATATTGGATAGCTTATGAGTTTACATGCAACAATCAAAAACAGTGATAGTTTCATAGTTATGGTAAAAATAAAGTCTGGATCATAACCAAAATCTCATCGGTTTTTCTTTGACTCATGGTCAGTCTCATTCATATTCCATAACCTCATTAAGAAAGGTAATAAATGATTGCCTTTGTTGCCAGGTCAGTTAACAGACATACTGTATTACCTGATTAATTAAGTGAATCTCTTGATTACCTGGCAGTTGGCTTCAGGGATGTAGGTCAAAGGGAACTTAGTTTTCTGGTGCATCATCTTAACTGGCTTAGCGTCATTCTGAAAACAGCAAACAGAAACATGTGTAACTTAACAACAGCTGAAATCTAGTACATATGACCATGTTGCAGTGATGTAGAAGTGTACAACAAGGTGTGATTGGTACACCATGACATCATTGTTGAGTGAGTGAAACATACTCAGGCAGCAAAACACAAGCTTAAGCTTTAAAGCTGCCTTAAGCTGCATTTTGGATGTTAACGTGAAACAAAATGACAGAAAAGCTGGTCCTGCTGATCTCACAAAAAACAGTCATCACAGTTCACATTCAGGAGGCAGATGCACAACACGCCTCAGTGAGAAATGCTTGAGCTCTGGAATAAGTTTAATATTCAGCATCAAAATCTCTTACTGAAGCTCAAACTTTTTGTAGACCAGTTCAAAGCCAAATCACTTTTTATTACTCTGAGTAAAGCCCAATGTCTTCAATTTTTTTTTTTTACTTTGGTAAATCATTTGTCAATAAATAACGCAATATCTACAGACTCAAACTCTATACTTACTTAAGCAACATTTTCTTATGAACACATCTAAGAAAAGGCGACGCCCTAAACCAAATGGAAGTATTACAATGTCCTTTTTACTGGACCACAGTGACCCATGATTAACAGTCACATGTTTAAAAAGCTATTGGGAAACGTTTTCTCCTGATCTTGACTAACATGCAACAGAAAAGGGTCCAACAAATTTTGTTAACTTTTGTTAAGTGATGAGACTCTCACCCTTTTGCCCCTGATTTCCAAATTCTCCTGTGGTCAGGTTTCGTGCAATGGCCCTGAAGTTGAACCCTTTTCGCTACTTTTCATTAAGAAAGTGGAAATAGAACCTTAGACTGTGCATTTTCTCTTTTCACTTTCACTTGTTTGACTAAAAAAAGATGAATTGGTTTTCCAATATTCCTGCAGCGTACGCACCACTCTCATTTTCACTTGATTCTACTGAGCTGTGGTCAGATCAGTAGACGGACAGGATACGACTGCACATGTCTGATATTAATCTCTGCGTCATGGTATCATGCAATATAGTTTCACAAACCCAGACGTGAGTTCAGTTAACAGCGTTTGTCCACTGAATGTTTTCTCTGTGCAGTGTTACCTTGTTGAGTCTGAACTGAGCATCATGTGTAGAACTCTGCTGAAACTGCTTGTTCCAGTTGCCTTTAAAGTAGATGGCATTTACCAGCACCAGCCTGGTCATGTTATCAACCACACCTTCGGCCAGCACATCCTTAATTTTACCTAAGAAAAGCACACAATTTGAAATGATTGCCATGTTTCCTCAGTGTAGAATTTAGTTAAACCACATTTATTTGAACACATGGAAAAATTGGAAAGAGTCCTCATTTCCAGGGTTATTTACAGCATCGTTTCAATATTAATATGTAATCTTTCAGTATTAATACCAAGAAAACTGGATTAAAGTAGCACTTGGCCTTTCTAACTGAAAGGAATTCTGGTCCCTTTCAGGCCACCGTAGAGAAATCTTTTAAACTCATGGCATTGTAAGTCATAAAAGTTTGCATGTCAATGTGCAATTCTGGAAATCCAGCTATTTCTGCATACAAAGATGAGACTGACACAAAACTATGATTAAGCAACATGAGGTGTTAGCATACTGATAAGTGTGTATGACCCACCTTGTGTCTGGCTCTCCACCCAGCTGTTGATGTTGAGCCTGGCTGCCTCGGAGCTGTTGCTGAAGTCCACAGACTCCAGCTCTGCATGGTAGTGCTTCCTGGTTTTTTCAAGGAAACCCTGGAACCACCAGCAACGCATTTACTGATTCTGATCACCCAAACAGAATATCCTCTTCACCTGACTTAGTGGAATTAAAAGCCATTACAGCTAGAGAGAGTGTTTCCACAGTCACTGCTTTACTTGCTTGTATGCTGGCCTGCTGCCCACTCCCTAATTCATCATTCCATTTTACTACATGCTTTAAGATTCCTGTCTAAGCCTCTCATTCACTCCAGCCGCACATTCTGTAAACAACACCACACCCACACATGAAGATGCATAGTCACATATATATATATCCTGAAATACACACACACACAAACCTCAACAAACTGGTAAGATTGCTCCCCGTACAGTCTGTTGGCCACACTGAGGGCGTACGGAGCGTCTGGCTTGTTGAGCTCGTTCAGCAGGAGGGCAAAGCTACTGTGGACATCATCCTGAAGGTCCTTGGTTTTCAGACACTGTGGACAAAGTAGACAAGAGGTGTTAGAGAGATGCACTGAGCCAGTGTTACGCCAGTCTAATAATCAGAGTTTGTGATGACAATATTGACAACATCAGCAATTTTGTCGTCTTTGGTGCTCCATGCTAAGTATTTGCCTACACTATGTTAAATGATGATGGATTGGAAAGATTTCCAAAAATGAACTTGATAGATTTGGTTGTAAATCTCTCTCTTGTAAATCAATTGGTCATAAAAACGAAAAGGTCAGGTATCTAAAATTTGGACATGCAAATGGCATCAGCACAGAATCTGGTATAACACAGCACAGTGTATAGATTGGGCCATTTTGGTATGCTGGAAAGAAATGAAAGCTGATGACTTCCAGTAGTAGTGTCTGAAAATATCTGAACCATTGACATGTCAATGTTGATGCACAAAATCTCAACTTTGACTGAAAAAAATATGGCAAAAATGAAAATACAAAAAGAAACTGACATGGAAAATGTAAAGAAAATATTTGAACACCTTTCACACTGACTTTAAAGAACCCATGGAAACCTGCCCAGGCACTGAAGCCTTTCCAGAAAGATTCCCATGAAGACACACAGCATCCCTCCACCATGGTGTTAAAGTATTTACACGGTTATTTTACAAAACAAAGGCCCGTCTTTTTTAATAAGAATTTAGGATGGTATGTTTTGGCTGGTGTGCATCCATATTAGCAAGACATAAACCACCGTCTTCTGCAAACTGTAATAATGATGTTTGCCAAATTTGGTTTTATCCACATACAAGGGCATTATCAGAGTAATACACAAGACATAAAAAAGGAAACAGATTCATTTGTGTGTACTCAGTTTTCCTAATACATTTTTGATGGGTTGTCATTGCTTAAAACGTTTTAAGTGTTTAATCTCACTGTGGTTTCTAACAGCTTCTTATCCGAGATAAACAGCACACCCAAAAAGAAGCCATACATAGAAAAGCCAGTACTACATTCCTGTGAATTATGCAACACTATGAGGTTTGGAGCTGACAGTCGACGCATACACTAAACCTTCAGTAGGGCTACTCCCTTGCATTGTTGCGTTTCTCTAAATTCGTTTCAAAATAGCAGCATACTGGAGATTAGTAGAAAAACAAGTGAAAGATCCCTGTCTCCAAAGGTCCCCTCCACCACATGACACCACCTAGACCACCTGTTAGTAAAATGCCCCTCAGTTAGTTTATCATCCCTGCACTCTTGGCTTTGTAACCACCTTCAGCATGTCTGGCAGGTTGAAGTGGACCAGCTGCTGCATCTGCATCATCTGCTGTGCTCCCGCATGCTGTGGCTGCTCTGCCTCACAGAATCTGAGGACCTAAGGGCGCAATTGGTAGTGTTCACTGTTAAGTTAGACATAATGTGTCTCTGGTTGTGTACAGGAAGCTACAATTTCATCCAAGCAGCGATGTGTGGGTTGAGTCAAACTCAGCAGGCCTTGTACATTACCATCAAACTCAAGCCAGGTCAAACAGCTGATCAGAGAGAAGTGCAGAAAATTTTGTTTTTCATGCAGCTGTGGGATAAACCTCTCTTCAACACAAAGACACAAGGAGACGATGATTGTAGTTATGTATTACTGGACTGGAAAGTAATTGCATTGGTATCTACCGTCATGACTTTCTATGTTACATTGTCTTTCTGTGTGGTGCTGAAGAGCGACCACACCCAAGAATGATGTCAAGGTGCACTGACCACACCCTGCTGCAAGGCAACAACTTCAACCTCTGCAAGATCAGAGATTCTCTATTTATTCACCGACGGTTCAACTGTTTGAAAAGTAGCATTTTTATACAGCTGGTTGAGTTTAATGACATCTAACATATTTGGAACATGACAGGTGATGTATATGAATGAGTACTTCAGTTCATCTGACCGGGCTGTGGGGGCTTATTACAACATATTTTATATAAACTTATTTAAGCAACTTTGCAAAACTATAACTATAACCTACATTCTTCATTTTCCTACAATACATATTCATTGGCTTTCAGCTACGTTGCTATTTTGTGTTGCAGTGAGCTGATATGTAGAATCACACCGACAGAAAAATAATGTACAAGGGAATAAAAGTACCAGTGTTGCACATGAAGGTGGTGTTTGGCAAGGAGATAAATAAAAAGTTTTTGCAAATTCAGGTGGCATCATTCCTGATGCACATATTTCTTTTTCCCATCAACCTACTGCAGTATTTGTACAGTACATGACACTGACACTCCCTCCCTCCCCTCTGTCACTTTGGTTCTTGGTGCAGCTCTGGTGGAAGTTCAGCTGCTGTCATCACATCTGGCTGGAAGCACAATGATTCACATCCCATTTGCTGACAATTTTGCCACATTTTGGAAGAAGCTCAGCCTTTATACACAGGACATGATTAAGTCAAAACAGGTTGTCTTGTGGCTCTTTACTCTGCATAATGAAATGACACTGTATATAAAAAGACCATGTCCCTGTTAAACAGCCAGGTAATACCCCTAGTTCTGTTGCATCAGATGAAAGAGGGGCACAAACTACAGAAAATACTGCTATTACATTTCACTGTCTTGACATAAACTTCACATACTGTGAATAACCTTATTACTCTTAACTGTCATCCTGCTCTTCCATTACCCATCATCCCCCAGAACATGATCACTTCAAATGACTGGAGTTGTTTCCTGACCCACGGCACATGGTGGATTAAGGGCAAGGGCCTGGCCCTCATACATATTCACACTTCCTGGGTGTGGTTTTGCTTTAGGAATCGTTTAGAAAAATGTGACTAAATGTTCGTGTTTTACAGCACATCAACTTCCACATTTCAACTACCTGTCTCATTGTACTGGTTATCACAGAGGCCTTTCTGCTGTTCATTCTACAGACGGCCACTGTGTGAGGGCATAATTTATTATTTTTATTTTTCCTAAGGATCTCCATACTTCTTAATAATGAGATGAGACAGTTGTGAGCCATTCAGTGATTAAACGTTGAACAACTCCCAGGTAGCCAGACAAGTGAACATATGGGGCATATGCACATAAAGGGAACTGATAAGGTGTACAGATTGCTTTATTGTACCTAGATCTTTATTGCCCCTACACTTCCAAATTATGTATCATGTTCCTATAGTAACACAACACAGATCTGCCCTCCATAAATCCTGGTCAGAGTCTGAACAGAGCAGATCTTTGTCATTTTTGCTGACACTGGAAAACAAAACTGGTGATTCATACTGAATGTGGGTTTACACGCCCCCAATGTTCCACTCCACCCTTTCATTCCTATCAAACTTGATCAAACGCTGTCTTTCTGAAGCATTAATCTTCAGTGTCACAGAGGCGTCACATCATGGGAACTTGAATTTCATGAGAAATCTGCATCATTCCACTGAACAGGCAACAAAGACACCTTTCAAAAATGTCAAATAACAGGTTTCACAATATCAAACTGAATAACCAGGTGCACCAACCTCTGATATCATGTTACGTTTCACAAAAATAGCGTGTGTGTCGGTGTGTGCGTGTATGTGTGTGCGTGAACTGTACCTCTGACATCTGTTTGGCCGTGTTGCCTCCAGACCCCAGCATCACCATAGCCAGGGCTGAAGAGATGCTAAAAGGAGAGAAAAAGACATTTGCGGTCTTGTCGTTATCGCTCAGCTTGTTGAGCAAAGCCAGAGCGAAGCCGGTGTTGGCCTTGGACAGAGGGGTTAATGATGCCATTGTGTCTTGTGTCTGCAAAGAAACGAGGGCAGAGCTTTCATTATTACACTACACATTTTAAATATTATTTTATCTCTAACCAATTTACTATCTCACTCTGTTTGTGAGCCAAACTTTACTGAAAGTTAATCAATTTATAATTAAATTGTTTGTGTTTGAATATAAATACCTGATAGACGATATATTAACATCATTTAAAATCATTCAATATAATTCTTCAAAACTTTCTATTTACCCACCTTAAATATTCCCATTATTTGTGGCACTGGGAGTCTACTCAATTTTATTTTATGGTAATAATAATATTAATAATAATAATAATAATAATAATCTTTATTTATATAGAACTGAACAGAAAGAAAAAAGGGAAATTAAAACAAACAAAACATCATAAAACAGAAGTAAGTTACATTCAAATATTGACTGAATTAAATAAAACACAACAACATATCAAACATTTATAAAAGCTTTCTAATAAAAGAATGACTTAAGAAGAGTTTCAAAAGACACTTAAGATCTAGCCTGTCTGATCTCAGTGGGTAGACTGTTCCACAATTTGGGGGCTCTAACAGCAAAGGCACAGTCACCTTTTCTCATCAGCCGAGTCTTCGGAATAACCAGCAAGGCTCCTTCCACTGATATGAATTGTGTTATTTCGGTTTAAATGTCTAATTTTACCGCCTAATTTCTAGTTTTTCATGTTGTACTGCTGTCGAAAAGCACTTTGTAACTATGATCTATAAGTTATTAGCCTATTAATATTAAAAAGCAATATTATAGTAATATTATAATAAAGTAATACATTACCATATAGTAATATGTGGTTGTTACCAATAGGAATTTAGGATTTTATTGAAATTAGCAGCAGTTTTAGTGGTGTGTATGCAAATTCACCACCAGATTGTAAATATAGTATTACATTTGGAGATTTCTGAATGGAATATGGTAGAAAAATAGAGGGTTAATATATCTGTTGGATTTCACAATGAAAACGCATTCTTTTACAGGCACTAAAACGTGATTTTATACTTACAACTACATATAGCACCATTTACATAACACACCACACATAACGTCAGACTTGACTGTATCGACCAAGTTCACTGTCAAACTGGGACTTTACACCTGTAGCATGAAGAACTTCCTGTTTATCCTGTCCGGTAAAATCAATTAATAAATCACTGTGCCTGCACCCTTAAACCAGTTAAAGTCTACAAACTAAACAATTAAACCCTCCGATCACGAGCTGAGTGTGACGCATCCTTTACTTACTAACAGGCTCTTTCCTTCCAGTGCTGGGATGATCAGGAGTCTTTCAGTAACAGACTGACTTCACTGTCCAGCGCCTGTTTTATTATTGACGAGCTGACACGCCCCAAATGCTCTTCCGCATTCTCATGTGTCATTCTATGGAAGCCGAGGAGATAAAAAGTCTTTCTTTCGCCCCCCCTCCCCCCCCTTTCTCTGAAGTTATCTCACTCAAATGGTAATTATTGCTATGGTTTCAGAGTCAAACGGTCCAAACACTGACTCACTGATTTGTGAACACATGATTATACTCCCATTCATTTTCTAAACTGTTTCACACAGTCTGAAATCACATATCCATCACACTTGCCCTGATGACTTCATCCCTGCTAAAGCAAGTGGTTTAGTTTAGTTTAAATTATTTATATATTTGATTGGGACAATGCAATTTAACATAGTTTCAAAACAGGGTATGAAACTAATGTGTTGCACAAAGAGTTTATAGCTATTGCTAATTCTCTGCTCCTTTTCCAGTTGACCTTTTTTTTTTTTTTTACACATGTGTAATGGATTTAAAAGTCAATAGTAAAAACAACACAAAACAGACAACACAGTTGATGATACCCTACAATTAGCTAAAAATAGAACAGTCTAAACAAAGACAACAACAGCACGCTAGAAGTAGTCAAACAAAAACAATTAACAATATAAACAGTTGCCTAGAAATGAGTAGAGCTCTGTTTTGCTTTTAGCAGCACTTAACCTTTATTGTGAAGGAGTCTATGTCTGGACTTAATTTGATTTCAGTTAGTCATTTGTTCCAGAATTGACAGCCCTTTATGGAGAAAGCTGATTGTACAAATTTAGATCTTCAATGTGATATTTTACAAACACTAAGAAATGAAAGCACAGAAATAGACCTAAAAGGGTACAGAGGCTTTGTCACTCCAGCTGTACTCTAGCAGGGTACAGCATTGCACCTCTGAACATTGGTACATTTTATACCTACTTGTCTGTTCCTCTAAAAGGACATTTCTTTGTATCCCCTGTGACAAAAGTGTACCTTCATGTCGTGGCACAAAAGTATATCCACTGGAAAGGTACAGATTTGGTGCCTTGTTTTTTTGTTGTTTTTTGGGGAGGCATTTTTGCATTTAATTTGATAGGTCCAGTGAGAGAGACGTGGGTCAGAGTCAAACCCATGGCCGTTGTGGTTAGGACTAAACCCATATGGTACACACCCTACCAGGTGAGCCAGTGAGGCGCCCCCAGACTTGGTACCATATGAGGTACAGTTGGAGCGACATGTCATTTTGTACCTTTATGAAGCAAAAACATATCCCTAAATTCAGAGACAAAATCATTTACAGTTAGTTTACTTTTTTTTTTAACAAAATCAACATTTTATATGTAAACTAATCCATTTTGGGTGCATGTATTGTATTGTTCTGATAAAATGTATTTGTCCTTAAAAAAAAGTTTGAGTACATGAGAAAAAGCAGTGCTTTTCTACATTAAGCTGAAGCATAAGACCAAAGGAGCCATTCGCTAATCACTGAGTGCAACCAAGAAAATTTCATTTCGGTTTCATACACAAAACAGGAGCAAGGTTAAGTAAAGTACACTTCCAAAATGTATGCAAAATTCATAACTCACATACTGTATTAGATTCAATTAATTCAATGTTTCAATCACTAAAATGCACATGCAGCTATGTTGGTAGCCTATTTAATTACAACAAACCCACCTCTCTATTTAAATCAAGATTTTGTATCAAGATGGTTTTGTACCTTTAAAATTAAAGTCCACAGTTAACACCCTAAGGACCATTTCAGTACCTTACAGGATACTTTTCTGAGAAATGTAAAAAAGATACCACTATTTCTCTGTGTGAGATTTCCACACACCACGCTCCTGGTTACTCTGTTACGTTCTTGCCTTTGGGTATATCTTGAGAGAGACTGTGGCTAAACTGTTGATACATTTATAAACTAATTTCAGAAAGCAAAGATGAATAAAGCCCTCAAAACTAAGATCTTTTCAGTATGGGACAGTGAAATCATCGGACAGGCTTTTTGTCCATTATTTTCAGTGCCTGATTATATAAGGATGTCAGGGGTCTGACTGTAGATTGTGACGTTTGAGCCCATACTGTGATACAATATGAAAAAAACAACTCACACTAGTGTATTTCCTATGTAAATTTATGATTTTATACATTTAAATCAGTATGGGATTGAACCAAATATTGTAGATAAACCTTCAGTAGCAATGGAAAAATTAAGCAACTTGAACTCAGTTATTTGACTCACTCCCTGCAGTAAAACTATTTGTACCTTTAGGATTGCAGTAGTGTAGAAGTTAATTGTACTGATTGCTGATATTTAATTCTTCTGATGCATCAAACTGCCAGTTCTTGGAAACCATTTCACCATAATTCTGTCATCAAAACAAACATGAGACCAGTGAGGTCCGAGTTATTTTCATGAGATGCAGTAAAAAAGCTGGTTCAGGGAAAGTGGCACGCCTAAATTTAAGGGGTAACTGGATTAAGAGGCAATTGTTACATCACTGAAAAAATTAACCAGATGTATTGACTGAGTGTCACAGCACCATCCCAGTCTGACAGTGTTAGATAAGGAGTCAGTGAATTAAAATGCCAACAGCAATGATTTGTTTTAATACTATATAGATATATATATATATATACACACACATACATATACACACACACATACAAAATTGCAGTTCATGTTCAATATCGATTATTGAAGAGAAAATATTGAGGACTACAGAGTAGAGGTGGGAGTTAAAACTGACTGCAGCTGAGAGCAAATATATCATGAAAGCAAGAGCCGTTTATGAAACGGGTGTAGTATGGACCCAAATGCAGCACACAGCTGGATATAGTTTGTTATGACCTTTATTTATGAGTCAGAGATATTGCACACAGGTGGATATTGGGGATAGAGGAAGGGGTCTGGAGCCGGGGCTGGAGAGCCGTTTGTAAAGTGCGGAGCAGGTGAGCAGAGCGGGTTGGGGAGGCTCACACACACACACAGGTAATTGTTGAAGGGAAGCAACGGTACCGTTAGGGGGCAGGCTGGAGACGTCGTCGAGGGAGCAGGAGGATTGGAACCAGGTAGAATTAATGCTAAAATAGTGTCGGCCGATGTAATCACATCATTATTATTATAGTAACTACCTGATGGAAAATAATATATATATATATATATATATATATATATATATATATATATATATACAACATAAACGTTTAAACTAAAAAACTTAAACTAAATTGCATAAATGATGAAAACATAAAAACAAAACATAAAACAACAGCGTCCAGTCGTCTCACGTACGTACACTACGCTGCAACGTATGTGTGTACGCACGTACGCCCGCAAATGCCCACGCACGTAACGTGCATGCTGACGCTGACCGCAACGTGTGCACGAACGCAGGTGTGTGTAAGCACGTTGCAGCGTGGCACATTGGTAGCTACGTCAGATTCTAGATGACTTTGATGTGCCTTTGATCTGCTGCATCAAAGGCACATGTATGTGAAGTAAACTAACAGTTTTCCTGGTTGTTGGTCATTGTCCTCAAGACCTCACCAGAGACACACACCTCTATCTGAGAATCCAGTTTGACGACAATTATTATTCTGCAATGGAGAATAATTCATCTGAAGGCTCAGCTGCTCCTGTTCGTGGAGCTGCTGACCTTCACCCTGGAACCAGGTCCCTGAGTCGGGGCGATGGTCCCAATGTGTTTGCGATGGTCCATCTCTCCGGCTTTCACGGCGCAGCACAGACGGGACCATGGTTCATGGATGACAATATTAGAGTGGGAATGGGGGACACCTTTCCCAACTTGTCAACTCCTCATCCCACTGGATTAGCTGCTTTTCGTCATGATGTGAGACGAATCCTTGTTCAGCCAGGCCCCTCTACAGTCATCGTGGAGCCACCAAGCAGAGAGGTTAATTCTCCTGCCTCCAGCTGTCAAGCCACATCAGAGCCAAGACTCCAACCAGAGGAAATCGAGACCATAGAGCTCACTGAAGAAGACAACGAGCTCTCCGTGAAGACACCAGAGAAGACCACCCACTCTGGTGCCTCTCCTTCCTCTGGCTGTGAAGCTACCACCAAGACCATCGACAAGACCCAGCTTTTTGTCACACTGCTGACCGTCAGACTGCTCCAAAAGTGCCGTGTTCTGGACATCTGCACGGAGAAGGACATGGCCACCTATGCCAAACAACTGATGAACAAAACGCTGCAGGGACTCACTGTGAGAGACGGTTTCTGCCCTGAACACAAAGACATCAAACAGATCTGCAAGGCCGTCATCAAGGATCTCACCAAGAAGCTTGGTGGGAAGAGCTCTCTTAAGTTTGTAATCCTGTCAGAGCAACCAAGCGTGGAAGCAGTCATCGTCAACAGTTTACAAGACCACATCTCAAAGCACGCGACTGTGTCTGCAAACAACAAGAAGAAGACATCTTCACGCAGTAAACTCTTCTGGCCCGCTATAAGTCTCGGCGCTGTTTGTGGCGTGTGGTTCATCTTGGCCATAATCTTTTTGTAAACTCCTGAAGGTGGCACGGTGGCGCAGCGGATAGCACTGTTGCCTCACTGTTGCCGGTGTCAACGGACAGGCTAATGCTGGTGAACAGCCCTGGCCTGTCTCCTATCACTTGTTTACACTGTGCCACACAGGGGGGAACTGGGCTCACTGGTGGTTCTGGCCTCGTTACTGAGGCCAGGCCCACCACTGGAACCAGTTCCTCCCTGTCCTGGCGTGGGTTTCCTCCGGGTGCTCCGGTTTTTCCCACACTCTAATTTGGACAATAAAATCATTCAATTAGATACTATTGATTCCTGAATGGACTTCTTCTTAATATAATCATATGACATGACATATATAATATTTCCTTATCATATTTTCCATGTTGAATATTGATCATACAGTGTGAGTGTAACTTATTTAAAATCTAATTATTTAACTTATTTAAATTAAGAAAATATAGTGGAGAAAAAGTTAAATATTTTCCTCTGAAAAATGAAATAAAGCACAAAATGTGTGAGGAAGATCTTAACTTCAGG